AAATTTCACCTGTATAATGTAGAAATAAAATAATAGTAAAATTGTTTATTGTCTGAAGTAAGGGAAAATATGAATTGTTTAGATAGCATGATGAGATGTTCTAACTGATGTACTCTGTATACATTGATTGCAGGCGTTCATGTTTCAGCTGAAGTGTGTCGACACGTTGTTGTTGATGTTATAAGGGGAAGTGGATAATTGAAGGATGATATTTTCTACTAAAGTGGTTCACTCTTTACATAAATGCTGTTTTTCTTTTTGACATAGATTCATTTTATGAAGACCATCATGTGTCTTCAGACATGCAAACAGCCCGTTTTCATATAAAGCAGAGTATTATTCGACAGGTGAATACTACCAGTGAGTGAAAATCACCTGTAGACTTTAACATAACCTCTATGAAGACAGTGATACTTGTCTAGGTGCGTTGTGTCAATGAACGTGTGAGTGGGCAGTAATTATCGTAAGTTGAAAGTTTATTGGTGGGTGGATTTAATAGATAACTACATTGATTGAAGTAAGCTAATCTGGACTGTGTGGATTATATATTTGAACTACTCTCTTCACTTTATTCATATTGTGCCGTCTTTTTCTCAGTTGATGCCTAGACCAACAAATATAGCTGTTTGTCATGATTATTGCAAGTGCAGTTAAGTGAAAATGTATGTCTTTGCCTGTTTTTCAATAATGTATTAATTCAACATATTACACCAGTGTGCATATGAACTGTGTTTATCCTCAGAACTTAATCTAGTTAGTTTAATTGTAGTAAATCTGTTCAGTGGTTGGAGGCAATCGACAAGAAGCCTTCGACCTAGATTTCATGCTTGCCGGCACTCGTCACCAAGGCGTGTCTGCAAGCTTGCAGGAACTCTGAGATTCAAACTCATGTCACCCCAGTGCTACCTACAGTCAGAAATGGTATCAAGGAGATGTTAGGGTTCTGTAGAACTGTATTAGACATTTTGGTGGACACTAACTAGTGTCTAGTCTTGTCCTTTGTTTGCTGTGGACTGAATTCTATCAGTCAAGTTTGCAATTTATCCACTGATAGAATTCAGTCTGCAGCAAACAGAGGACTAGACGCTTAACATCAGTTAGTGTCCAATCAACCCAGTGAATCTACTATATGTAGTATCATTTTCCCTCACAATGTATGCATAATCATAATTCCCTATTGTCACATGCCACCGGGAATATGTACTGGAATTTCTGTGTACATTTAGCAACACAGAGATTATGTTACGATTGGATGACTAAATTGTACAGTGTGGCATTGTCGACCTCTTAAGACTACCAGATTTGTATATCTTATGATATTTTCGGTGTTAAACTAACACGTGTTAATGCCATGCAATACTTCATGCTTTTTCGAGTTGAATCTTGTTTATCTCGTAATTGATGGCTGTTGGTTCCTATATATGCAGCTAAAATTCCTCCAGAAAACAGAAAACGAAGTTCACTTCACGTTACATGAATTGTTCAATAATTTGCAAGTTATGCCGGTGGAATACTTTCTTTAAAGTGGTAGAAATTATTTGAAATTTCTGGATTTCATCATGAACTAACATCGGTTAGAGAACCACTAAAAGAAGTCCTAGTTTGGGACTCTTCACTAGTAAGTACCCATACCCTATGCTCGAATCCAGGACTTTCTGGTTAAAAGGCAAGCTTGCAGACCATTCATGTATGTTTAATAGAACTCATTAAACTGCGATATTTGGCTTGTGTGACCATTTATTATAGATATTAACGCAAACAAGAAGCTTAGTGAGAGGTAACAACCCATCCCAAGTCAAACGTGACTTGCTTTGTTTAACTCAATTATATACGTAGAATAGAGGCTGTTGGGTAGTTGATTTTGTTTCACGGGACTGGAGCAGTGCTGTAATCATATCAGGTGTTATGTTTGTGTGTTTTGAAGGCATCTTATCAAGCGTTTTGTGCAGATCGAATATCTGTTGTGAAGTCTGCTATGCTATGCGCAAAAACACGTCGCGACTACTTTGATCTTCATTCAGATGTGTCTTGTGACAACAAGCATATGTGAGTTGGAAACCGAAATGTATGTCCTACAAGCAACTGACTACAGATATCATCGCTAATTAATCTTGGCAGGTAGAAATAAGAAAGGGTGAAGAAGTCCCCTTAAATATGAAGTTAAGCACAGTGAATTCATCTCAGATCATCAAGGGGAGAGACACGAGCTTATGTTTATCAAGGAAAATGACTGATGAGAATGTAGCTGACAGTCGTCATATTGACTGAGGTTGACATTAATCCATTCTCGGTGTCTAGTGTACTTCATTTAGCTATGATAACCACTGAGTATTCATTCAGTGAATATCCTCACATTGTCCATACACCACAGTCAGCCAATTCATCTTTGAAGTTGACTTTTCAAGCTCAGAGACAGTGATCACCTATGAAGTCAAACTTGCGAAAATAATAAGAACAAGGGGTAAACAGAATTTTCAGTAGGATTTGAGACAGATGGATTATGATCAGGAATTAGTCTTGTCTATCTTGAAAACAATGACTATTGTTGTTGTTGTTGCTGCCACTGATGGTGATGATGATGATGATGATGTCGATGGTGATTGTGGCATTCATCATCTCCCGTAGACTCTAGAGCTCATGATTAGGCTACCTATGAACTGTACAGTTGGTTTGGTTTTGCTTACTGAGTGCTTAGTCATAGCATCATATTGATCAACTCGGATTAGAATAGGTAGAACACCTTGGTGTCATTACTTCCTATGCTAACCGAACAATTCCTATTCAAAATAGATGTTTTCATATTAATATTCATTTATTCTAATATAAATATGATTACCATCTCCTCTAGTTATTGTCATTATAATTATTTTCATACGTATATATGTATATATCACATATATCATTGACTACTTATCCAACTGACTCATTAGTTATGTAATGGATTGACATGGGAACTATCACTTACTATCACTATTCAACTCATTGTCACAAATGAAGTCAACTCAGAGGTGATTATTTTGGAGATGGGGGCGAGTCACATAATCATATCATACAATAATTGTTTATAGTGGAGTGGAGTGCAACAAAGGGATGAATTTTTCGCGTTGAGGGTAGACTTGATGGTCTCACCCCAACCTAGACTGAATCTGACAGGGGTGAGATTAGTTTTGTAACGCTATTTGTTATACAGCTACAAAACAAACATTCTCCCACTTCTCTTCAACAGTGTGTGTGTGTGTGAAATAATAATAACAATAATAATTTACTTCAATGTATTTATTGTTTGTCTTTCTCCATTGATCCTATTTATTCCATCTGAAAATGTGAGTACATCTGAACACGTGTTATTTGACAGAGAGGAGATAATGAATGTTAATGAAAATATGGAATAAATTTATTCTCTTTCTGACTGTGTGTGATACCACGCACTTTCACTCCGACTGTCCTACGTGTCAGTGATTGATTAAATCGATTTCACAGATTGACAATTTATACCACAAATGATAAGTATGCCATTGAGAGAGAGAGAGAGAGTGAGTGAGACGAAGTGCATGATCTGATGTTGAGTGAAGTGAAGAGTTTGAAATTCAGTCGGAATTTAATAGACAACGACTGTGAAGGCTAGTGCTGAGTTAGTCCTGAGTGATTGTGAAGAACACCATTTGTTCCATTGCCATTGAGGAATTGTGTAAGATATGTGGATAATGTAGAAGAAGAGTGATTATCGGAGAATTCTGCGTATTCGCTCCTGCATTCCACCACTCCAACTAAGGAGAAATTCATCAAGCATCCTTCTGCTTATCTTTTGTATCTACCACATCAAGAAGCTAAAACAATCTTGAATCAGTCAACCTTTGGTGTTGAAATTTGTTAACTCGTGTATCTTACCTATTGTACTTCACTGCTCCCCCTTGGTCTTTCCTGGTTTACTGAGAAGGGACTGTGTCATTTTGAGAAGGGTATTAAAGGTTGTTAGCAGCAGGGCAAGTAGTGTGCAAATTAGTCCGTTTGTCACTTCATTAGGTGACAGACATCTGAACTCGTGCGAGAAATGATCTAAATCTATATTATTTGACCCTCGAAACCCCCTTCATTCTCAACTCTCCCTTTGCATGGCATCCGGTAGAACCAGAATTCAGTGCAAAAGATTATATGCTCGTACTACGAAGTGTAGGAAGTCAAATATACCATATCTGAGCTGGCTTCTATGTGATAGAGGCAATGTGAAGCGTGAGAATTATGAATTACTATGTTGTTAGCTGAATAACTGGCCCTTTTATTATCTCCTATTTGTAATCTGTGCTGACATTACCTCAGTTGGCTGACAACCTTAGCTGCTAACCCTATGATTATTATTATTATTATTATTATTATTATTATTATTATTTACAGCTTTTTATGTATGGACATATATGTGACTTCACACTACAAGTCACTACAAGTACCATATAAGAACCATCGTTAGGAATCCTGTAATATTATTCCTAAAATTGTTTTTAATGTTGTTCGATATAATTGACTGATAATCTCAGCTACAAAAACATAATCATAAGTGTTTTACAGTTTTCTTTATTTATGACCTTACTGTAGAAATTAAAAGCGAACGAATAAGAACTCTGATTAACAATCGTGTACTATTATCATTATAATTTTTTTAAAAATATTATTAGATGAAATTAGATGGAATAATGTACCAAATGCTGAGAATTCCACACTGTGCCATTAGTACTGTTTTGGAATAAAGCAAATTATTATTATTATCATTATTATTATTATTATTGTTATTACTACAATAACAACAACAACTACTACTACTACTGTGGTGAGAGCAGGCTGCTAGCCGATTGGTTGGCACTAATCTACGTTAAGGTCTAGGTCACTAATGTGGGCCGTGAGAAGATGTGAACAAGGCTGAGTAAACAACCAATCAGAAGCCTGCGTTTGTCTACCTAAACAACCAATCAGATGACTGCGCTTGTCTATAATAATGTAGTTGAAAGATGTATAAATACGTGTTGATTTTCATAATAAAACGATCTGTTGCCTGGCCCTTGTCTTCTGTTGTTACATTTGGTGTCGCTGCCTACCGACAAATGGAAAGCCTATGCCCTGCTGTTTTCGATGGAGACATATGGATCTTCGGGCAGGACTTCAAGGCTTCTGCGCAGTTGAGTGGCGTTCAAGATCTGTCAGCGATGGAGCTGCTACTTGGGACGCTGCTGGGAGGTCGGGTGAAAGCAGCATATGAAAGTGTGAGCCGAAGTATGGACGAATGTTCGACAGGGTCAGGCAAACAGTTTCCAAAGTGGGAAGGACCATATATGGTCACTTCGAGATGGGGTTACGCAGACACAGTCGCAATGGCGAACAATAAGAGGCGCGTGAACGTCAGCGAGCTCCAGAAATGGATACAGCGAGACAAGCCAACGATGACGCCTGCACCAAGTAGATCAAGCCGACTTCAGTCGCACGTATTTGACGGGGGGACGAGTGTGGTGAGAGCAGGCTGCTAGCCGATTGGTTGGCACTAATCTACGTTAAGGTCTAGGTCACTAATGTGGGCCGTGAGAAGATGTGAACAAGGCTGAGTAAACAACCAATCAGAAGCCTGCGTTTGTCTACCTAAACAACCAATCAGATGACTGCGCTTGTCTATAATAATGTAGTTGAAAGATGTATAAATACGTGTTGATTTTCATAATAAAACGATCTGTTGCCTGGCCCTTGTCTTCTGTTGTTACACTACTACTGCTAATACTATTATCAACGAAGCAAAGCAGCCAAGACGTATACTTTTTCACTTCTCTTGACGTCCAGTCACTCATTCACCTAGTCGTGATAAAACTCGAATATAATAGCTTCTATCGACAGCGTCTCTCGAAACTCACTTCATTCAATGTAGTGATGGCCAAGGTGAGGGAAGTGGTTGTATGCATTTCTTCTGAACACACAGGTCTGTTTTCTCCAAGTGAATTGTAGTGGCTGGCCTCAATTGTACATGAGAGAGGAAATCGTAAAATAAAATAAATATTAGTAAGAGTGTGATGGATAACTTTAAATACCTGATGAGCCTCACACACATACACACTATGTACAAGGCGTGGTAAGATATAGCCGCGGATAGGCCTTTTTCACCGCTCGCTGAATCCTACAGGATGATGTTTGCAAATCCCATGATAAAGGTGTCGACGTGTACTCCCGATGCAACTAGATCCATAGGAGTAGTGAAGGTGGTAAATACAGATGCAATGGGTGAAATTCGGTAGTGTGTCCTAATTTGTTGGACGTGAAATTCAAATGGTTGTGAAGAGAGTGAGAGTGTGTGTGTGTCAGCGGTGCATTGAATGCATCTCATTTGGATAGCCATTTCCATTCAACAGTAGTGACCTAGTGATCTTAGACTCCTCATTAAGACAGACTTTTGAGCAGATTACTCTGACACAATGAACTAAACACTTTTCCAGACTGCGTTTCTATTTCAAGTGTGCAGAGCTCAAGAAGTGAGTATACTAACCTGTTCATATTAGTTGTTCTACATACATTCCTCCCAAATTCACCATCCCATTTTGCAGTCAAAGAGACATCCAGTATTGAAATGCTACTACTTTTTCCTTCCTTTCTTTCACGATAGTGAACTTTGTTGCAGGCTGCGAATCATTTCGTCTTCCAAATGTCTGAATGTGGATTTTCGCTACATTAGAACCATTCAGAGGGAATCCCCGGTCATCGAAATCTCTATTAAACATCACACGATAGTGAATAATTGGATTTATTCTGGAATTTGATTCTCTGTCGACTTCTATGTGAGCTGAGCCATGCAAACATTGAATGTCAAGCAACACAACGGAGGAAATCTCGCCCACTCCAGAATCATGCAATCACTTTCACTCCTACAGTGGTAGCGAAATTGGATTTCACAATCCTTAACATCTCTTTGAGTATAAATTAACTTCAGTATACATGCGATCTGATAATACTTGAATGCATTATGCACATAAAGTCTACTGAGTTAAGCAAGTAGTTACGAGAGAGAAGGAGTCAAATCATATCTGTAATTAGACCTGATACACAAAACTCAGTCTGATGTAAATTCACTGATCATTGGCGGCCTGCTTAAATCTTGGGCTACCAAAATTTCCATCCTACATATTGCATCTATTTCCTCGGGTTTATTTTGTTTTAATTATTCAGTTATGTATCCAAGTTGCATTACTTACTCTCGCGATTATTTAAAATGTTTTCAACCTGATGATTTGTAATGCAATAGAAACCAATATAATGCCACTAAACAAGTTTCTTTTTCTTCTTTTTCAGAAAGAAACGTTGACGTGGCATCACTAGAACAAGAGGAAGATCGGTTATCTAAACTTGTTATAAACGATGATAACTAGCTTGTAACCCGGTCAATTCAAGTCTCACTTGCTTGAAATAAACGTCTCTTCCTCGCCGTCTTTGACTTCTTCCTTCGTCAGTCGTGATTGTGGTCTGCGTGTGTTATAATTTACGAGTATATAATAACGTTAAGAAAAAGCATCATGGAGGTTGGCAGAGATCATTAAAGTGTACTCCAATGCATCAGATGACTGTTCCTGTGATTATGAGCACAAATTGCAGGTCATTATCGAACAAGATTAACTACTTGCATTCTCTATTATACTCAAATGTATATTGTAATACTGGTGTAATCACTCTTCAAGAGACTTGGCTCCATGATTCATATGACGATAATTTAGTCTCCTTAAGTGGGTTCACAATCTACAGACAAGACCGATGCAGCTCAAAGAAGAAGAGAGGTGGTGGTGTTGCCACTTTTATTAATTCTCAGTGGTCTACTGCCAACAACGTCTGCTTCAAATTCTCAAATGACAATATTGACTGTATAACTGTAAAATGTCGACCTAAACACTTACCTAAGTATAGCTCCATTTTTGTCACAAATATCTATATCACACCTTGTTGCAGTCCCTCAGAACTATCTATCTTCGCTGATGAATTCACTATTTTTGCTGCTGCTTCGTTTGGTAACTCCTTATCTATAGTGACCGGCGACTTCAACTCCAGCGACTGCAGTTTTATTACATTGCTGGGCCATGAAAATGTTGTTAATTTCCCAACTCGACAAAATACTTCACTTGATTTAGTATTTATAAATGATTCTGGAATATACGAAGCTCGTAAAAGAGCCCCGCTCTTCAATTCTGATCATTGTATTGTACGAGTCTTACCCAAAATTTACGGAAAGTTACACAGTAAAGCCCTCTCAAACTTGTCTAAGAAAGTTGTTCACAGATGCTACTCAAATGAGAACGTACATCATCTTAGAAACATGCTCAGTGACACAAGATGGGATTTGTTTAATGATGATTCACTTGATGACAATATCTCTAATATTACATCCTGTCTGAAATTCTGTTGTCCAAAAGAAACACTATTCGTCAAATTTGACCGTTTCTCCTCGCCTCAACTTAAAAAGCTTCGTAGAGAGAAGGAAAAACTGTATAAGATGAAAGATAAAAGTGGTGTAAAAAGAACTAACTTCTTAATTAAGTCTGAAATGCAGAGGTTGAATGTAATATATAACCAGAAATTCATATCCTGCAAAAATCCTTCTAATATGTGGAAACTATTTAAGGAAATCACTGGTGGTAAGCAGATAAACAATATTCCATATTCTTTTGATGTATGTACTCTTAACAAATCTTTTATTTACTCTCCCTCAAATGCCATGCTTCCCAGCATCACTTGTGTTAATAATAGCCCCTTTCCAGGTTTTAACACAAATGATGTTCAAAAGTGCCTCAAGTCTCTAAACCCTTCCCAGAGCTTAGGTCCCGATTATGTACCTAGTATTAATTTTAAAAATGTTCTGATATTCTGTGTCACCCTCTTACTGATCTATTTAACAAATCTTTTTCCGATAATATTGTGCCTGCCGTTTGGAAGGACATTAAAGTTGTACCCATACCTAAATCATCCACTGGAGCATGTGTCAAATTTAGACCCATTGCTATTACCTCTCCTTTTTTGAAAACTATGGAGAAATTACTTTTACTTAGTCTTGTACCTTCGCTTAAATCCTTTAATGACCCTAAACAATTTGCCTATAAGCACAGTAGAAGCACTTTAGATGCAGCTGCCGTCTTATATCATAACATTGCTTCCAGTCTAGACAAGGGGGCTAAATTTGTTCGTTGTGCCTTCCTAGACTATACATCTGCTTTCGACTCGGTCCCTAGGGACATCTTATTAAATAAACTTGCTGCTAGTCAAACAGAATGTTGGGCTGTTAACTGGTTACATTCCTATTTCTCAGATAGAAAGCAGTACACCGTATATAAAGGGAAGTCTTCCACTTCATTGCCTACTGAAGCTGGTGTCCCTCAAGGTGCTGTTCTTTCTCCTTTTCTTTTTTCTTTCTTCTTGCATGACTTGCCTCACTCTGATGAAATAAACTTTGTGAAGTACGCTGATGATTTAACGGTTTCAATGGCTGTTAACTCCCAGCTAGATTGTACTAAAATAAATAGCTTTCTATCGGAAGTCAGCAAATGGTCTGAGTCTAACGGTCTTAAACTGAATCCTTCTAAGTGTCAAACTGTTGATTTCAGCTTAAGATGTAAACGACAGTTAAAAGAAGTCATCGATTCTCATGACAGTTGTAAAATTGACGACAATGATATAGGAATCAAATCAGAAATTAAGTATCTTGGACTCATTCTCTCTTCTGATCTCTCCTGGTCTTCCCATGTCTTAGCAATCTCCAGTAAAATATTCCGCCTGACATTTTACATTAAGAAGTTAAGACACTCGGGTATAACTCAACCCCTCCTCTTACAGTTCATAAACTCTTGCATCCTACCTATTCTTCTTTATTGTTCACCCTTATTCTTTCCTGGTTTGCTTAAAAAGGACTATGTCACAATTCGTAGAATACTGAAGACTGTCAGTAGGGTGAGTGGTGTCCCAGTGGACCACATAGTTAACGTCGTTGTCGATAGGCACTTGACTTCGTGCAATAAATTTGCTAAAGGGATTTTGTCTGACTTGGAGCATCCGCTTTACCCTCAGCTTTCACCTTGCATCTCCTCAGGTAGAACAAGGAGTAACTTCAGAAAACTGTATGCTCGCACGTCTAAGTATAGAAATTCTATGATACCATACTTGGCACGTATTTTATGTGATGAAAATAGTGTCAGGCAAGAATTAACTAACCTTTTTTCATCTAGTAAATAAACAATTTCCTCCATCCATCCTTATATACCTTCAAGTTTTACTTTTATTACTTCTATTATATTTATGGTCCTGTTGCTTCTTTGTTTTACTCTCATAATTGCAAACACCAACTTATCTCCATGACGGCTGTAATCTTTGTTTTTCTCCTCACCATATCATGTAAAGAGAACATTATATTCAATATTTTTAAACATGTTAGGATTTCTATACCACATTGCCAATACTGTGTGACACAAGCCAACGGCAATTTTCACTTGTATTCTTATTATTATTACCCTAGCTGTTATCATTATTATTGCTATTTCCATTTTATATGCTGCATGTTTTTGACACTACCTCTATTGTAAATGTGGAAAATTTTCTGTGTGATTAATTTTATTTATAATTTGAGGAAATTAGATGCAATATTGTGATTAATGCTGAAAATTCCATTCTGTATCACAAGTACTGTTTTTGGAATAAAGTAAATTATTATTATTATTATAAGTGATTCTTCACGACGAATACG